TTTTATTTCTCTATAATTTTGTTCTTCATGTTCAGCTCTTATATTTTTATTACGGCGTTTTCTTGTTATGTTCATTATCTATTATTTCTTGTTTTTATAATACATATTTCTTTCTATATATATATATATAAAGGAGAAAAGCGACTCACTGACAAATCACGATATCTCATTAAACCTACAGACTTGAAATTTGGGGTTAGGTAAATCGTTCCCTTCATGGAGTAGACGTCAACTAAGAACGTTTTGCAGAATTCCCCAAGGGGCGTTATAGATAATTATTTCCATTACTAAACTATTAGATGAACAGTCGTGAAATTTGGTACACAGATTTCTTTCATTTAGTAGAGATTCCATACATAATGATTTTTACGAAAATCGTCCTCCAAGGGGCGTTGAAGGCACTTAAAAGGCGTTATACATAATTATTTCCATTTTTAACCTATTAGACGTACAGTCTTGAAATTTGATAAGCGGATTCTTTTCATAGAGTACAGATCCCTACAGAATGGATTTTGTGAAAAACGACCCCAAGTGGCGTTGTGGAGAATTCAGGGCGTTATAGGCAATTAACTACTTTTTTAAGCTATTAGACGCAAAATCTCGAAATTTAGTAAGCTGATTCCATTCATTAAGTAGAGATCCGCTTTAAGATAGGTTTTGTGAAAATCGTTTCCTAAGTGGCGTTGAGGGGGCTTAAGGGGCGTTACCGATAATTATTTCCAATTTTAAACTATTAGACGTACAGTCTTAAAATTTGGTATATAAGTGAATTCCTTTCATGGTGTAGAGATCCGCTACAAAATAGTTTTAGGGAAAATTGATCCCCAAGGGTCACTGAGGGGGATTAAGGGGCGTAATATATAAATGTTTCAGCTTTTCAACTAATAGAACCACCTGCTTGAAAATTAGAAGGTATGTTCCGTTCATGGAATAAAGTTCCTTTTACAAAGATTTTTGCGAAAACGGACCCTCAAAGGAGTGGGATTGCGAAGATTAAGGCGTGTTATAGAAAAATTGCTGTTTTTGAATTTAACTCATTTACTTGAAATTTGTTGAGCACTTTTCTTTAGTTGAATAGTGTTTGTTCCACTAAGAATGGATTTTACGGAAATTAACTCCAGGGGGAAGCGGGGAGAGTTATTGGGGCGTATTGATAGACAAAATTCCCATTTTCGAACTGCTAAGACTATAATAATAAAATTTGGTTTGCATGCTTCTTTTGTTGAATTGGAATCCGCTAAGAATGCTGTCAACGAGATATTGATGATAAAAATTCCGTTTTTGCTCTGTTAGATTCAGACTTGAAATTTAGCACGCATGTTAATTTTATGGAGTAAGGATCCACTGAAATTTGCTTTGGTGAAAATCCACTTGATTATTAGGTTCAATGAGCGAAAAAATCTTTCTCCTTCTATTTTAGATATAAATAGAAATTAGATATGATAATTTATATTCTTTTTATATCAAGGTACTATAAAGCTATAAATTTTTTTTCAATACAATCAAATTCTTAATGATAGATATCAATAATTAATATATATGTAAACAGTATACATATATACAACATCGTGAAATACTCAGTGAAGCGGGTGGGTAACGGCTAGTATATATATATACTCAGGAACATTGAAAATAGCGACCCAAGAAGGAAGATAAGTACAATCACGAAACTTTGCAAATAAGTACAGCGTAATGTGATATGCAAATGATCCAAGTTTTGTGCCAATACGCATGCTCATACACGCCGAGGTGGAACTACAATCAGGAAGAGGATGCTAAATAAGCCAGCGCAAATTCGAAGATTCAGAAACGTGATGATTACCCGCCGATTGTAGGAAGACTTTGGTAAGCGAAACATGCCAGGTAAACGTGCTAGAAGACATTTCTCACAGTTAAGCTAGTTTGATAGAGGCCTGATCATCGGGATGAAAACTGCAAGCTGGTCGACGTGTCGTGTTTCTGGCCAGGTGGATCGTTCGGAGTGTTCCGTTAGAAATTGTTGGGAGCAGTGGACACGAGAAGGTACCCACGCGCGGAAAACCGGGTCTGGAGCGACCAGGAAGACCACAAGGAGAGAGGATCGTGCGGCAAGCACTTGTTGGCCCCACAGTGACTCGTTCAACGATACGAGCAGACGTAGGCGTAGCAATTGTTCCACAAACAATTTCCAGACACCTTGCAGAAGCAAATCTGAAATCCAAACGCCCTTTCCGTGCACTCCCTTTAACACCGGAACATCGGCAACTGCTTCTACAGTAGTGCCAATCCAGATCAATGTGGAATGTCACAGATTGGTCAAAGGTTGTGTTTAGTGATGAATCCCGGTTTGTTTAGGGGACAGATGATAACCGTGTACGGGTGTGGAGGCGCCCTGGTGAGCGGTACAATTCCCCCCCACACACTGTTCTACGTCACACTGCGCTTACAGCTGGTGTAATGGTCTGGGGGCCAAAGCCTATGATAGCCGGTCCATTTTAATTGTGATGCGTGGAAACTTAACGGGTCAACGTTACGTTGATGATATTCTTCGACCCCATGTAAGATCTTTCGTAAATGGTCTCCCAGGGGCAATTTTCCAGCAAGATAATGCTCGTCCGCATACAGCAAGAGTTGCTCGAAACTTCCTACACGTGATTTTCAGACTCTTCCATGGCCGACCCGCTCCCCCGATTTGTCCCCTGTAGAGCACGAGTGGGATCAGCTAAAACGGCAGATGCCATCGTGTCACTCTGTACATGATTTAGAGTTGGCTGTTCAAGATTTTTGGGCCCATCTGCCTCAGGTCAACATAAGGTGTCTAATCGACTCAATGCCAGACCGTGTGGCGGCATGTATTGCAGCCAGCTGGAGGTGGTCCAACGCGCTATTGAAGTTGCCCAGTATTTGTGTCGTTGCACACCCTGTATTCGTATAATTGTCTTGTTTTTGAGATCAAGTGAATCTCTCATCTGTGTCATTATGTGTATTAAATTTCATTTCAATCCGATGCTTTCTTCTTGGGTCACTATTTTCAATGTTCCTGAGTGTATATAGGGAGAAAGTGAACTTATATATATATATATATATATATAGTCGGAATTGAAAAGTAAGTATTGATTTTTTATTCAAAAATGCTTACCAACTTTTATTACATGTGTTAATAGCAACAGGTAAACAAATTTCAAAGTATTTGGCCCAAAAGGAAAAACAAAACATGGCATTTTAAATGAAAATAAACTAGTTATTTCTACTCTCCTAGATAAACCGGTTTAAACTTTTTATTTGACATGGGGACTTCAGGAAAAACGAACATAAATTTATCCTAACTCTGAACTATTTAAACTTAGAACTTTCTAATTTCTGAGATTATATATAAAAATATATAAAGAATAACTTAAACTAAAAAACCTTTATTTGAATTTTTAACCAATTTTTGTCAATTGAATCGCTATGTGCCTCCTTAATTGTTAATCCCCCATAAAAAAAAGAAAAAAAATTATAAAAAAATTCTCTTAAGACTCAGTTAATTAACAAATATGCCTATCATTTTCGTTCAAGCAAAACTTCTCCCAGCCCCAATCGCATTTGACAAGACAATTCGAGAAACTCCAGGAATGACTCATCGATAAAATCCAAGGAAAACCCATCGAAAGAGCAATGATTAATGGGAGCACTTCTCCAAACCAAAAACGAAGCCATGATCGATACTGCCCGTAATCACTTGTGTGCTTAATGCATAATCATCTGGGTTCTTCTTGATCGAGAGCCTGCATAACAAGGTTACCACAACAGCTTGAAGCCACGATCTAATGTAGCTAGAGACAGGACTTATCTTCTTTCGTATTGGACGCCTCTTTCTTGTGATCGATAGTTTTGTCGATTCAATCTATCATTCCGTCAGCAGAGGAAGGCTGCTTCCTTTTGATGTGTTAATTGCAAGTTTACCTGTTTCGTTTTCGGGAAAAGATGTTTTCATCGGGAAATTGCACAGAGTGCACTGTTTGAGTTTGAAATCGAATGCCACAGTCTTTAATGACACGGGAAGTAACAGCTTAATATGTTTGTTCTCTTGGCAAAAGGTTGTATTGCGTTTCGCTGGATCTTATAATGAGTGTTTGCAGAGATATACATAAAAATCGTTATTCAGATGGTAATAGATCAGTTATTTAAATCATTTCTCAATTGTCGATACCTATTGATAATGTTAAAGGTTACCAGCCTTTAAATACTGTGCATTTCCATTTAACCATTTTATTGCTATTTTAAAAATAACTTAAGTATACAGTGTTGGCCAAAAATGTGGACACTTTTTTAAAATTGTTATGTTTTTTTTTAAGTTTGCATGCTTATGGAAAGTGTTACGTTGAACTGAATGCAAAGTCTTTTGCATCATTTTAAAGAGAATTCAATACAAAAAATTCATACAAAATACTGAATTCAATCCAAAAAATTTGAAATATTTGCAAAGCAAAAAAATTTATGCCGCAATAACTATTGAGATATATATTAAATACTGATGGTAGCAGTGAGTTACCAGTGCTTAATGGGGTAGCCTGGACAAGAGTTTTCAAACGGTACCACAAACTTGTGGCACCGTATGAAAACTCTTCTCCGAATGAGGTACTCTTGAAATAAAAAGGAACTAATTGAGGATATAATTGTTTCCTGACATCATGTAATAACGAAGAAAGAGCTTCAAACTAATTTCAGCTCAATGAAATATTGATGTGAAACTGTAATTAAAAACAAGTAATATAACAAAAATTTAAGTGAATCTCTACTCAGATCAACAAAGAAAGATTCTATTTAAGTTACTTTTTATTAAATAATTGCAATTAAAATAAATATGTACATATATAGGACAGAATCACAATATTAAGTGGCAAAATAGAGAGTGGTTTTCCTTTCTGTATATCGTGTCGAACTACTATTTTTAATTGTTACTATTCATTCATTAATTAAATTTAATTATTGCAATAAAAAAGTATAGTAAAGAGAAATCACATTCTCAGAAATTAGGCTATCTCCAGTGGGATTGGAACCCACGACCTCTGGATTAGAAGACCAAAACACGCTATCCATTGCGCGACAGGGACACAACGAGCGAATTCCTTTTTTTATATAGGGTGTTGGACTATTATGTTTGTTTGGAACTATTTATTCATTAATTAAATAGAATTTATGAATTAATATTTAAAAAAACTATATTAAACTTGTCATACACTACATTTTTAAAAAATGTATTTGAACTGGAGCGGATGAATAAAAATATTTTGTTTAACGATTGAAAATTTTATCAAGATATATATATATATAGATTAGGAACTAATAGTAGGAATTGAAAAAACAAAAAGATGAACATAAAAAAATTGATTTCTACATATATGGCATACCTTATGTACTTTCATTACTGAATAAAATGAAATGTTGTTCACAAATTCGTTTTCATTTATTTATTTCTAATGGAGCTGCGGACAGGTGTTTTATTATTGCAAACCTTAATATATTCTCTAAGAGCTGGTATCTCGTTTTAGTGTAGCATGCTATAGGTGGAATATCAAATGCTGTAACATAATTTTGACGCCCAGTTTCCACCCCAGAGGGAGGCACTTGAGCTCTGACGATTGTTCACATATTTGTCTTCCATGATATCTTCAGGCACATCACCGAACTTTGATTCCTCTTCATCTTTGTTAATTTGATACATAAACAATCATTTTCCATTCCATACAGACTTTTAGATATAACACATTTTTTAAGTGAATTTTGAATTGTGTCAGGTTTAACATCTCATTCCATGCTTTTACTTTCTCCTCACACACTATTTCTAGACTGGCATGGGCTCATTTGGCCTCCTTTTGTAAATATTTCTTCACCTAACATCCTCAAACTTTCTAACACCTCTTTTCTTGCTCTTTAGAGCTTTGGTTCTGTAAGTATACCATTGTTCAAAAGCCTGGTATAATTCTTCGAATAGCTGACTTCGAAAAGTAAGAGAATTGCATATTTCAGATTTCTTCTTATAAGACAAAATGGATGCGTGTTATGTGGCGAATATACCTAGAAATTTTTAAAATACAGTTAGAAAGAAACGAGGCGTGTAATACGCAGGAATATAGGGTTGTTAAATAAACAAAATCAATAATCGTCGGTTTTTACAATCTGTTCCTTAATAATTAGCAATATTTAGAATAAATTTTCTTTAGAAATTAAGTTCGGGGAACCAAAGACCAAACACATCTTGTCCATTTCAAAATTCTTTGCGTTATTTCCATAGATTTTGTATACACATTTTCATATATTCTTCCTTTAACTTCTTACCTTGGTTGCAGTAGTTAAAAGTCATAATCGGGAACTCGCGGACGGTGTTTTGAGTTGTTGCTGCTACTTGTGCCGCCTGATTGACAGTAACATCAGATCAAGGCCCACGAAATTCATCGTGGCTAGGGGCTGATAGTATGCCTATCGTTAGCCGTAGCTTTGAACACCGTACAGGTGACAGTACGATTTTTCTCACTTCCACCCCAATTTAGAGGAACACCCTGGGAGTAGACAGATGCCTCCCACCTTTCTAGCCCTTCCACTAACCTCATGAGAGAACTTGCGGCTCGACGGCTATTTAGAGTACCCTCATGCCGCAAAGGCACTAAACATTTACAAACAACCATGCCTTTCCCGGGATTCGAACACAGGTCTTACGGCACAGTAGTCAGTGCCACTAATCACTACACTGGATGGGCGGCCTGGTGTTTTGAGTTGTGGGCTTGAGTCACTGAAAACTGAAACTGACTCACTGAACTCACTGACCACTGAAAACTCTCCTGGTACAGGAGCTTATACACATTAAATCTATGTAGGCCGGATATTTTCACGCTGGAAAGGTGCGGAAGTTTAGAGAGTAGTCAAAAATACCACTGAAGTTGCTGAAGAGGGCGACGTCTCTAAAAATCAAATGAAATAACTTTACAATAACAATCAGTTTGTAAAAGAATACCAATATTTCCAATTTTCTTTTATTACTTTATTTTAAGGTTTATCATGAATATAGATTATTATTCTGGATTATATATTTATATATATATATAAACCACGGGCTGGGCAATTTTGCTTCAGCCTTTCATCCCTTTAGTGAGTCGGTAAATGAGTACCAAGCTTGCTTTCGAACCTAACACTGGGGGTTTAGTGTCAGAATGACCACCTGATCGGAACATCTGTTCATGCATCACAGTACCCAAGGTCACGTATACTGAGTTGGGCACAGTAGGTCTTGACCCTCATGGGGTGTTGTGCCACTGATTTAAGTTATTGTTTTTACAAAAACAATCAGGATATTCGAAACTACTCCTTTGTTTCTATAAATGCAACATTTGCATAATTGTATTTTTAGAAACATTTTATGCAATATATTTTATATAAACGCAACGGATAACAAATTTGTAAAACGCATTCACGTAGCAATTTATTCAATGCACTTCATCAAATTTCAAAATATGATTCGATAATATTTTTTTTATAAAAATCTTAACTGAAAGAATTTTGAAAATTGAGTGCTCTTGATTTTTTTTACAATTAAAGTAATTCAGCAGATTTATGTATTATAATTTTTTAAATTGGTTAATTTGTTAAGTTCTGAAATAACAAAAAGTGAGAGTGTTAAGTAAAAAAAAAACATTTGTCCTAAATCCAAGTGTTTTAATTATATTTTTTCCCCTTTTAAATATTTGCTTGATAGAATCCAATAAAAATTTTATTCAATCATATTTATTAAAAAAACCAAAATTAATTTCAAAACAATTTTAGTAGGATTCCAATTTTTCCTTTTTGTATTGAATGATGGCATTCATAATTTTCCAAAATATTAAATGGTTTTTAGAATTCCTTAACGATTTATCGATTTATATATAATTAATTTTCCTATTACGTTTATTCCTTATATTGTACTTTATAAAATAGTTGGATGGTTTGGCTAAAAATTCTTGATTTAAAACGTTTTTGGAACATTTCGAATAATGTAAGACTAGATAAGAATTAGAAACTATTCACAGAAATATATTTGAATTCAGCATACGGTTTCTACCATTCAAAACGTAATTATTAAACAAACTACCTTCCTTCCAAACATAAACTTTGAATTGTGAGCTTTGAGAAAGTTTAAATCTTCCAGAACTCCGTCTCCGTCAGGAGAAAACCTAATTTAAATGTAAAGTGCTCTGGGAATATAAATATTTAATATAAATTATTCCAGTCAAACGAATTGTCCTTTTGCGTCCAATTGCTGCTGATAAATTTCAGCAATTGGGGTGGAAAGTGCCACGATTGTCAAATCAACGAAGAGTATTGATTGGATTTACCAAATAACGTATGTGCTACATCTAGAAACGTGTGTTATGCTTCTTTCTTTTGTTTCTTATTATACTTGGAGAAAAAAGAAAAAATAAGAAGGGGGGAGGTTCCGCTTTTTCATTTTGTCCGATCATTTTCTGAAATTAAATTTGTAAATATTAGTTACGGAGTGTCTCGATAAGAATTGGATTATATTTCTTTCAGAGATTGTTGCCCTTAACATAGTGCGTCTCAAACTTTCAATATTTGCAACTCAATTTTCTCAATCATAACTTTAATCCCCCCCCCCCGAAACACAATAACAGTGTTTTGAAATACAATAAAAATATCTGATGTAAATACGACTTTAATTAGAAACAAAACAAATTATCAAGATAAGTACTAAATTTTTTATATGACAAGACCATGGGAGTCACTAGTAATTATTAAACTTGTTTTTAATTTAGTATTGACTAATTACCTAGCAAAAATATTTAGCAGTACTGATACATTTACAAATATATTATATTAGTATAAATGTGTTTCATTTTTATGACAGAATGTTTTGGGGGGTTTTTTGGGGCTTCTTTTCAGTGAATTAATACTTATTTTAAATCTTTTATTTTCAACTTTTCAATATGTTCGCGCCCCCTCGTTGAGATATCACGCCCCCCAGGAGAGTGCCCCCCTCACAGCTTAAGAAACACTCCCTTAACAAAGGTAGACTTCCAGAAAATACACACATTGAACACACCGAGATAATGTTTTTTTTAATATTCAGTTTAATTGAAATTTATGACACACATATTAAAATTTTAATGATAGTGTTTGTGATAACTTTTTTAATGTTTAATGAATGTTGTTGTCGTTTCTGATGCCGCCTAATCGACGGTGTCAGATCACGATCCACGAAACTCATAGTGGTAAGGGGCTGCATGTACGTCTGCTTTGGCCACAGCTTTGAGTACCATGCATGGGACAGTACAATTTGGCTCGGTTCAACTCCAATAAGAATCTAAAAAGAATCTCTCCAATAAGAATCCAAAAAGAATCTTTCCAATAAGAATCCAAAAAAATCTCTCCAATAAGAATCTGAAAAGAATTTCTCCAATAAGAATCTAAAAAGAATCTCTCCAATAAGAATCTACTAACGATAGTCCAATAAGAATCTAAGTAAACAAATTATCTAGTGGCTTTCTCTAATAATAATCAAAATAGAATCAATTAACTTATTATTATTAATGGGAAACAAGTTATTGTATGCAAAAAGATACATAAAAAAGTCCTAAAATTTTTCGTGAGCCCAGCTATAAGTCAGGTGACCCCAATTGGGGTCAAGACCCCTAGTTTAAAAAACGCTGATGTAGGTCATTTGTGTATTTCTTAAATTATTTTAAATACCCAAACTCAATTGCATTGTTACCCAGTCGTCCTTTAACTCATTTCTTTTCCGGAATGCCTTATATCCGCTTGTTTTGAAAGCTGTTATACTCACAATTTCAAAGATTTAATTCCTTAGAAAAACGAATTTAAATAAATCGCTACTACAGGCTTTAGCGTTAAATTACTGTATCATACTACGTAACATATTGATAACAATCTGTTTGGAATAAATTGGAGATTCAAGCCTCCCCCAGAAACTACACAAATCTATATTTCACTGTTTTAAAAAATGGACTTTCACCATCCATCTTACTTTAAACTGTTTATTCAGAAAACATACCACTTTGTCAAAGAAATAAAGACAAATGCAACTTGGGAATGCGCAAACCAG